TTTTTTTTTTTAACGTTTATTTATTTACTTTGAGAGAATGAGAGCATGAGCGGGGGAGGGGCAGAGAGAGAGGGAGAGAGGATCCCAAGCAGGCTCTGTACTGTCAATGTGGAGCCACACATGGGGCTCGATCTCAAGAGCCACGAGATCATGACCTGCGCCGAAACCGAGGGTCGGTTGCTTAACCAGCTGAGCCACCCAGGCGCCCCTGGAAAGAGCTGTCCTTGATACCAAGCTAAGAACTGTGCAGGTGATGTTCTAAAAGAATGCTCTTTTTCCAAGGACAGTTTTTCAAATCTAAGGAGAGGGAGTAGTTCGGGAACAGTTAGTTGTATGAAATTTGCAGTTCTACCAACCACAGCAGTTTTTATTATAATTGGTGGATTGGAGCTAGTAAATATTTGTACATTTTAAACATTTACTTCTAAAGATGTTTAAGTCCACGAAACTTGCTAAGTTTCAGTGGATCTCAGTGGGTTATGGAACTTGAGCTATCTCTGTCCAGCACCCGAGGGCTGCTTTGTGTCTGCTCTTCCTTCTGTCACTTATAACAAGTAACTAATGCTTAAACATAGGATGTTCTTTTGGAAAGTCTTTTGGGATTTCAAATGGTTTACCTGGAACTCAGAATATTTCATACTTTTTTTCTGTAGCTTTCTCTTTATATGGATAAGTTTGAAGAATTCCAGACTACCATGGCAAAAAGCAATGAACTGTTTACAACCTTCCGGCAGGAGATGGAAAAGGTATTTGCGTATTTTTAGTAGAATATTACGTAAAAGGGAATTAGTAGAAGAAGCTATGTTAAGCAAGATCACTGCCTGGACGAGCTGATGCTGTTCTGGTACAGTCTTCATTTGCCCTGTTCTGATCCTCTAGTGGCATCCTGTGTGGTCGTTTTGCCCTTGGAGTGGTAGTCCGTGTAGCTAGTGAGCTCTGTGCTCTTAAATACTAGCTTTATTAAAGTGAATTCCTCTGTCAAATACAATTTGTCATTACACATAAATGGTTTCTTTTTTTGTTGTTGCGTCTTGTTTTATTCACTCAGGTGACACCGCACCCCTCCTTCACAAAGCTCTGTGTTTTTGGAGATTTTTTAAAGACATCCAAGCCCAGAACATTTTGGTTGGTTGATTTTATATATATAGATATATTTATATATCTATATATATATTACTTATATTTATATTTATATACATACACAGAGAGGCAAACACATTTATGTATATTTTTATTTATATATATATGTAATCAATATATATGTATATATATATCAGTGTTTCCATCTTTTTAAAAAATTTAATTATCTATTTTAAGTAATCTCCACACCCAACATGAGGCTTGAACTCACAACCCCAACATCAAGAGTCGCACGCTCCACCAGCTGAGCCAGCCAGGCGCCTCAGTGTTTTCTACATTTTTAGCTTTTCGTTTTCTTTTTTTTTTTTTTTTTTTTTTTTTTTTTTTTTTTT